ATGTGTCTAAAAATGTACAAATAACTAATTTTAAACCAATGCCTATAAGAAAATGTTTAAAAATAGAATTAGAAATAATAATAACTTACTATAAATGGAAATGCTGCAGGAATTTTCCAAAGACTAACTAAATTCTAACACGTCTATGTCAGTGAGTGACGATAAAAGAAAACATCACATTGATTTATTGGCACACTTGAAATTCGTTAAACGCGGCTATTTATATGTAAAATGTATAAAAAATAATCAGCTAGAGGAGACAAAATATTTATTTATTTATTTGAATCAAACATTTCTAGAGGTTCAACCTGAAGAGAAAACCAATTAAGAATGTATAGTGGGGCACGGCCGACTATATGATACCCAGCACTTGTGAATTGTATGTTAAAAATGGGTCAATGTTAAAAATGGACCTTATATATGTTGGTAGAGGGACTTACGTTTATATTCAAGTCATTTTTGCAGGAAATCATCGTGATACTAGTGTTTACAAGTGAATTATTGACCTTCAAGGCATTTTCTGAATTTTCTATGGGGTCTAGAGTGCTAAGGCTCTAACATTAAGACTTATACATACATAATTAAGTTGTGCCGATTTTTGTAGAGATACTAGAACATTTAACATAATTATGAGCTCAAGAGCAATTTTCGGAAGGTACGATTATATGGGGATTGGTTAGATGGATTTCAAATATTTTCAATAGGATTCGTCTCCTTGGGCCATGAGAACAAGATTTACATGGACTCACAGACACAAACGCATAACACCCTCCACACTATAGTAATGTAGGGTATAAAAACGAAAGCCATAAGGATCTCATAGCTTAGAATTACAGGATAATTAAAAACAAATATCAGACTTACCCAATCGGATATCACAGACAGAAATTATTCAAAAATTGTGAGACATTGATGCTGCTATACCAGGCCGCTCGGAGATTATTCGTTACAAAAGAACTAATACATTTTCTATTTATATTAAGAGAACTTGAAAAAAATAAATGGTAAACCGTTTAAGGCAACGAGAACGGATTTAAAAGCAAAGCTGATAAATCCAATCAGCCAATGCTGACCTAAACGAAGCGAGAAAGAGAACTCTCTTCAATGAGAGAAAATCAGAAATTACTTTAACAATGACTCTGCCATTGCCAAGCTTTTGTCGAAATCAGATCTAATTGCTTTTGAGAGCGATGTTACTTCGGATATAACATACCTAAATTTGATAAGTTGGGGTTGAGTTCTGAATCATCGAACGATAATTAAACTTTAAAGGTGATTCACTCACTAAAGAAATTACATGTAAAGAATTGCACAAATAGTCCGGTAGGGGCCTTCATGGTGATAGCGTCCTCCACTTCAACCTAAACTAGCTTTTTAGGTACTTAAGCCTAAGATCTAACGTCCCTTCAGTAAGTTCTTAATTGAGTACAAGAAACATAAATCTTCATGATATGATGTTAATATCATTCTCTTACCCCCTTAGGTCCTAAAGTTTAGGATCCAACATTCCTTCAAAAAACAAAACTATCCTGATATTGATTCATTAAAATCTAAAATCTCTATCGTTAAAATAGTCTCAGGAGCATTACGTTAGAGATTGATGTTAAATAAAAAAAATGATATAAAATAACTCATAAAATGATCAACTTTATTCATGTAATTTTGTGGCGCCTGGTCAATAAACAATTAAAAGGCGTCTGGTGTACACAATTTTAACAAGGATGCTTGCTAAATTATTTGTGGATAGATACAAAAAAAAAATAACATACTGCCACTTAATATTGCTACTGGTTGTTACAACATGTCACTTTTCACCATCAATATACATTATTCATATGGGAAACCAGACGACAATATAAATCTCTAGAATGTGTTAAAATCATCTATAATGGGATAAACATCACTTGTTCACTGCGTTCATAGTAATGAGGAAGATGATGACTATGATCGTGTTAAAAGAAATGAAAGAAACAAAAGAGAAACAAATGCCTAGAATGTGTCTGCAACAACTTGTTATTAAATTGATGTTGGTTGTGGAATAATTGAATAGACTGGTGCTGCCTGCCCGTTCTTCCTATGTAGTAGTAATAGTTGTAGAATTTGTTATAGTCTGCAGAAACTTGACGTCCTTTAGATGGTGTTCTTGACATTTTTTTTCTTGTAAAACATTCCTTGAATGCCGTTAAAGTTATTTTTAGATTTGCACTTGGGTTTAAAAAACCCCTTTAGGCAGTTGTCTAGCATGGAATTCCTGGTGCATTTTTTTCTTTCTTAATATGCTTCCTTTTAGTTTTATAGCTCTAAACATGATGTAATAAATTAAGCACCCAACAAGGAAAAATACAGCATTTTATCATATTTTGTTTTAATAAAAATCTAGCATTTATTATGAACTTGATCACTAAATACTTTTTACTCATACATTTACTCTTTATCACTCATTCTTGTTGTGCATGATGATGATGATGAGTATCTATAATATAACCAAACACTTGTTGGATTGATCGATCTACGAGTATATGCAAAATAATATTGTTTATGTGTGCGTAAAGTATATGTACGATGTGTATCAACACAACATTTATATCAACAACAGATACGAAATTTAATTGTCGCACGACCCAATTGGCCTCCTGATCATTGATTGAATGTAATAATAAAATTCAATTAAATTACTTCGTCATATTTTGTAGTATTCCACACAAACAATGACCCCAAACACCACCGATGATGGTAAATGCCATATTTGTTGCTGTATTTATTTTGTATTTCTGTTTCATTCGAATTTTACACTGTTCTACAAGTTGTTACCAATGCTGAATGCAATGGTAATGGTTATATATATCGGAACAAGGATGAATTACATCATTATCCAGTGGTTCTGCCATGAATAGTGATTGTTTCAATCATTGGAAACCGAACTGAACTGGTTGAGGAAACATTTTTTCTTAGACCAGTGCTTAGGGAATGTCAATTACTTTTTCAAGCGGTTACAAGGAGTAGTGTTTATGGATATTTGATTTAAATCTTCTTACATCGAAAGTGGCAGGAAGTATGTTCCATATACGAACACTAGAGCCGAAAAGTATGGAAGAGTATGTCTTCCATACAAGTTCGCTAATTTCAGAGGAACATATACTATTATACAAGTTCCCTATTTTCAGTGAAATTATTTCCATTGTAATATCTATAGAAAAGTGAAATATACCCCACGTCGCAACAGTGCTCTAGGGAATCAATAGAATTGAATTCCCTATGGTCTCCGATAAGTACCTTTGTCCTCTCCTGTACGCGGTTGAGTAGCTCCAAAATTGACTTTCAAGCGTCGGCCCATACATAAGATTTGTCGGTCATATACATAAGTAATACAAATAGTGAGGAGATCAAATGGAGTGAAATATGTTTTACACCGTTTTAAAAAACCGAGACAATGTTTCTTTCAACACTTAAAAAATATGCTTAATTCCTTCATGTCCATAACATCGCGAGTTCTTGATCCATTATTACTTACGCCGCCCATAAATATAGATGAATCAACATTATCTGGCATGAGTTTATGTGTTAGAAAACAACGTTGAGTCTTGCGGGCATTAAAATCTACTATATTAAGACTACTACCCCATTCAGAGATTGTTATCAAGTTCGTGGCTGAGCGGTCCATTCATATTATGCCTCATTGCCTCAATCTCTGAATGCCTTGGCCTATAATTCGTTTGGTGAGGTATCAACACTCGTATAGAAGTCGAAGTGCTTTACGTGAACACCTGCCGTGTTGGCCTTACTTCACGGTGGTGAGCTGATTAGATGACTCGCCACCGCCCCTTTGTGCTTCTTATACGCCGGTGTCAATTTTCGTACATGGTTCTGCCAGTCCATGTACAAGCACTTTGGTCAAGTGCACGAGCTATCTAATCTCTGGCCCATTGCTTAACGGGTCAACCACGCAGATGAGATGGCCTCTTATGAGTCAGCAACAGCATCTACAGGCGTATTCGATAGATCGAAACACGAATCCATCAAATAAGCCGAGGACTTGTTCTTAATCGCAGAGAAAACACTGTGGAAAATCTGCTATGAACAGAGTAAACTCTGAACATACCCGGACAAGGAAGGAAAATTCAATGGTATCACTTGTATAAGATATCTTTCATACCTCGCCATTCAACCCAGCAAACTTGTCATTCATTCGACACAATATCCGATACACTCACTCTAGGCATACGGGTAGGTAAGATCCGCATAACCCTATATCCATCCCGTATCATATTCATTTAACACTAACTTACTCCAACTCTTAGTCACACAGACATTCCTCTGCGGGATATCTGTTGTCTCGGCAAAAGCACCGAACTTATCCCGAAATATAGACTTTACCATCAGTCTTTTAACCGACATTCTCTTCCCGCGAGTTTGGGTTTAACTCATAGCCACCAAGAGCACCCCGAACGGTCCTCTCCAATAACCAGGACAAGACAAAGCCGAAACTCTGCCCTGCGGGCTATCAGTTCCCATGGTACCAGATATTGTGGTGCTCTGGTTCGACCACATCTTCAAGTTGAATAGCATTACAATGGTCATCCTTAGATGATCTTACATAAAATCTTTTTTAAAATTTCGATCTATACATAGTTTGTAATAATGAAATAGTTTGTAATAATGAAATAAGTTTTGGTCTGATTAGTATACTCCTATTGTAGTAATGTGCAAAATAAAGAAAAATATGTCTAAAATATGCACGTCTTTCTGCAATTTATTTATAACTTTATATTAATTTAGCATCTTTCAATCCATATTTTACCAGACAATATAATAATTTTCTGACGAAGCTTTTTTTTTTTTCTTTTTATTGTCTTTTTTGAAATGATATTGACGAAATATTTAGCAAGTATTAAAAATATTATATTTCTATTTCGTTTAAATAAATGCATATAAAAATACTTTTTTCTAAAAAAAAACATACATGCACTAATTTATTCTCTATTTATTTAATTTAATTTTAGATCTGTGCCAGAATTACCATTTCGAGGGTTATCAAATGTTGAGTATTTAGGTCTCGGTGACAACGAACTTGAAGAAATTCCAAAGCACATGCTTAATCATATGCCAGTTGTTAAGACGCTCGATATAGGAAGATGTCGCATACGATCTGCGCTGCAAGATGATTTCAAGGGCACACAAATGCTAACTAATCTCTTTATGCCGACAAACAATTTGACGCGTCTTGATCGTGCTACATTTCCGCCCGGTTTAGTTACTCTACATTTGGGTCGCAACAATATAGAAAATCTAAATGGCACTCTGAGACATCTTAACAAACTGGAATCTTTGTTTATTAATAAAAATCGTATAACCACTTTGGAAGATGAATTGCCCGAATCAAATTTGCTGAAATTGATAATGGCCCAAAATAATATGTTGGTACATTTACCTGAACGTATGAGACAAATGGATAAATTGGAGACATTGCATGTACAGCACAATCATCTTGTATCATTGGATCGAGTGTTAAAGAATGCCAAGAATTTAAATGAATTTTATGTCTTTAACAATCGCATCGAATCATTGGCACGCGATGAATTCCAAATGGCAACAAAATTGGAAGAGTTATATATAGCCAGCAATAATATTAAATCGTTAAATGGTTCATTGCTGCCATTGCAAAGACTTTGTAAGGCGAATTTTTCATTTAATTTAATTGATGAATTCTCTATGGACGAAATTCGGGGTCTAAGGAGTTTAAAACAATTGGATTTATCAAATAATCGCATACGCAAGTTATCTGGCCGCCAAGAGAATAATATCGATAAGAATTCATATTTGGTAGAATTATATTTGGATTTCAATGAGTTAACATCTTTAGATGGAGCACTTATGGGCTTAAATAGTTTGCGCATTCTGGGTTTAACACACAATCAGATTGAACGTATTCTGCCAGAGGACTTTATCGGTTTGGAAAAATTGGAAATCCTAGAATTATCGCATAATAAGCTGTTGACCTTAAGGGAAATGCAAACGGTGAGTAACCAAAGTTAAATACTTAAATATCGGTTGAATTCTGGTTTAGTTCTGGTTCGGTTCTAGTTCAGTTCTAGTTCAGTTCTAGTTCAGTTCTAGTTCAGTTCTAGTTCAGTTCTAGTTCAGTTCTAGTTCAGTTCTAGTTCAGTTCTAGTTCAGTTCTAGTTCAGTTCTAGTTCAGTTCTAGTTCAGTTCTAGTTCAGTTCTAGTTCAGTTCTAGTTCAGTTCTAGTTCAGTTCTAGTTCAGTTCTAGTTCAGTTCTAGTTCAGTTCTAGTTCAGTTCTAGTTCAGTTCTAGTTCAGTTGTAGTTCAGTTCTAGTTCAGTTCTAGTTCAGTTCTAGTTCAGTTCTAGTTCAGTTTTAGTTCAGTTCTAGTTCTAGTTCAGTTCTAGTTTAGTTCTAGTTCAGTTCTAGTTCAGTTCTAGTTTTAGTCTTAGTTCACACGAATTTATTGACATTTGTTTAGTCACAATACTTATTCAACTTCTTTCTAAATTTTTGCAGACAGTGCTTCCCAGTTTGAAGATTCTTAAAGTTGACTACAACAATTTAACCATACTCGATAAAGATTTCCATGGTTTGCCTGTTTTGTGTCAAGCTCATATGACCCATAATCAAATAATAAGCATTTCGCATGAATTGGTTGCTAAAACTAATTGTATGAATCATAATGTACCCGGTAAATTGGAATTGTACTTGGAAGGTAATAAAACTACACAATTTTAATGTAAACAAATTGAAATTCATTAAATTTTCTCTTAATTTCCATAGATAATCCCTTCCACTGTAAAATGCTTTTGGATGAATATTGCCCTTTAATGGCCAATACCGAAAAACGTATACGTTTGCGTACGAAATGTTTTGAGGCCTATGAGGATGTATGCAAAAATCGTCAATTTGTGTTAATGGTACCCACTAATGATCTGACTCAACAAGTAATACCGGTAATATTACCCTCTACGGATCTATTGAAGAAAGCAGATAATTTATTGCCACCATTGTTTGCTCCGTTGGGCGGTCAGGGAAATATTAAGCCTTTGATTCTAGCACCAGCTATACAAATTTTGGAGCCTACAACAACCACTACTACGACCACCACAACGACGACTACAACTACAGAACCCCCGACTACAACTACCACTGTAGCACCTACTACGGCCTCCATTCAACTAAATGATATGATTGAAAATGTTAACGAAACCACTAACAACGAAACGTTTAGTGTAAGCAATGAAACAGAATTAACAACTTTAATGCCACGCCTAAACACTACTCAAGAAACTCTAAGCATTCAATTGCCCAAAACCGAATTAAACGATCAATCCACTACTACAACCCAAAAACCTTCAATTTTGGTTTTAAACATGGATGATTCGCCACCTTCTGTTATGCCACCCGATGCAAAAAATAATAATGTGCCTAAAACGGAATATTCTACTATGGAGTATATACCAAACATTGGGAATCATGCTAATCACGAATTAGTACCACCTCCCGATGTTCTCATCGACGATGACTCCAAGTCAAATTCAATACACGAGGAGTATCATACAAAAGTCATCACCGACTATGATAATGCTCCCCAAAATCTACTACAACCGGATGAACCGCCTGAAAATCCTTAAAAATTATATAAATTATTCTCTTTTATTAATTAATTTTCAATTTAGGTCTACATTCAAATTGGCTTGAGCCCCCTCTGTGTAACGGAAGAATGTTTAAAGAAAGTATCTTTTGTATTTGTTTACACAGAACGTAAAGAAAGTGTCAAATTAAATCAAGTTATTAAATACGATATCAATACCTATGTATACCAGATATAATTTAGATTATTATTACGAATATAACGATATTTAAATATGAGAAGAAGAAGAATTGAGAGAACCTTAATTTGTATGTGGTTTTTTGTTTTTAAGTTATTTTTAGTAGATTTTTTTTTACAAATATATTTTTTTTGTTCTGTATAGTTTTGTAAGATTAACTTTTATTATTTTTTGAGTTGTATTTTTTCGATATACCTACTATTATTATCACTACTACTTCTACTAAATACTATTGTTGCCAGAAAAGGTAAATTATACATCATAATATTTGTAACTAAGATTTTAGTATTTGTTTTTTGGATATATAATTGTATGTACTCGTAATATGTATGAAGATAATAAATAGTTATTTAATTCAAAATATTGAACGACTTTAAAATTGTATTTTTATATAGTTTTTATTAAAATATGTATGTATGTGTTGTTGTTGTTGTTGTAACTGTTCGACTGTGGCCGATAGTTCATTCCTGGGGAAAAAACTTTCGGTTGATACAGCTGTCGCTGGGTTGACAATCTTTGGCCGAGTATGACTCGGGTCGTTCCGGAGCGAAGATCCAATTGTCGTGGGAACGGTATGTTCAGTTGTATGTATGGGTGTATATCGCTGGTTTACTTTAATTGGTTCTGAAGTAGCTCATTTCATGTTTTCTTATTTCACATACCCAAAACTCTAGTACGCCCTATGTTGGTTTTAAGAACATTTTCCAGTATACCTATATCATCATATAGAAACTTCGACCGTTTAAAATAAAGTGAACTTTTAACGGTCTTCCACTAGTTAATGTTAACGGTGTTCACCAGGACCGTGACCCTAGGTTACAGTCTAAACAGCGTTCATCAATATATCAAAATTGTGTAGGACATGTATATACTCCGGAGTAAAGACCAGTCTATAGTCCAGACAAGAGACAAGTATATAGTTCGGAATAAAGACCAGTATATAGTCCAGACTAGAGACTAGCGTGTCTGTAGTTCAGACAAGAGTCAAACCTTTAGTTCAGAATATAATCCAGACTAGAGACTAGAGATATGTAATACACTCTCTGTATATCTGACCAGCGACTATGTTCAAGACTATACACTTGTTTATGTTCCAGAAAAGAGGACTACAGTATATACTCGAGACTTTTCTATATTCCATTCTAGAGACTAGTCTATATTCACGACAAGAAGCTATTATAGAGAGTAGTTTTTTCTATTGGTAACAATTATACATTGTTACGAGGCACTTTTCTAAACTCCCTTTTCTAAAAACTCCTCATATAATCCTTATGGAAAAATAATTTAGTGTCAATGAATCATTAAAAAATTATGATAAAATTCGACAAAAATGATGTGGTTCAGAAATTAATCACTCTTTTAAATTCTTTAGAGCTGGGCCCATATTTAACCAAAATCCTCATTAAAGGCACTATTCCAATAAATTAAATGCAATTCAACATTAATCTAATAATTAAAAAGCTATATATAGGATATCTTCATAAGCTTTCTCTTAATTTTATACACATGCTTTGATAGTTACAAAATTGAAGACTCAAAAATACTGCTCATTCTCCCACCTTAAAGACATCCAATCGGATCAGAATCACTTTCTGATTCGATTAAGATATCTCCGTCTGTCCGTTTGTGTGTCCATGTGAATCTTGTGGTCGCAATTTTCAATATAATTTGTTGATATTTAGCGCATACACTTTTCTTGATCTAAAGATGAAAACTTTCGAAATTTTCGTAATGATCGGGCCTCATTTGATTCTAGATTCCACCCACCTTAAAGCATATCTTAAGAAAATTATGAAGGTCAATAATTAACTTACCTACCAATGAGTTAAATACATTTGTAATGCTACTTCAACTATCATGCACGTTGGAATCAATTAACTTTTCTCACTTTTGTGCAAATATTTCTATAAATTGGTAATCACTTATTTCCTAAATACAATTATGTTTTTATATTCACTTTTAATAGCTTTCCCACAAAGATCTCTCTTATCACAAAGTAACTTTTTATTAAAACTATTTGTTATAAACTTGTTAATAAATTATAACAAATGATTATTTAATTTAATGAGATATATAACACTTTTAATTTTTTGTATTAAAATCAGTTTTTCGTTGTCATAAATATAAGAAATATAACTGTAAAGAATAACAGACATGTCAAATATGCAATCAAAAGTTTCGGCATTGCCAGACAAAAAATATTACATTTTTAGTCTGGCAATGAAGACAATGAAAGTCAGTGAAATACACATGTAAAAATTACTTTGTTAAAAATATAGATAATTAGTGTATATTAGGGTTCTATAAATCGACTTTCGAATAATCGAACAATCGACTTTTTGACGAAAAAAGTCGAAAAGTCGAAGTCGACTATTTTGTTCCAAAAAAGTCGATAACTCGACTATCGTCTATGAAAAAAGTCGAAAAGTCGACTTTGTAAATAAAAGTCGAAAAAGTCGATAATTCGAAAAAAGTCGAAGAAAGTCGAAGAAAGTCGAAAAAAGTCGAAAAGTCGAAAAAAAGTCGAAAAGTCGGAAAAAGTCGAAAAGTCGAAAATTTTAAAAAAGTGGAAAAGAGGTCAAAAACTCTAAAATAGTCGGAAAAACTCGAAAAAAGTAAAAAATAGTCGAAAATAAGTCGAAAATAGTCAAAAAGTCGTAAAAAATCGAAAAGTCGGAAAAAGTCGAAAAGTTGAAAAAAGTCGAAAAAAGTCGAAAAGTCGAAAAAAGTCGAAAAGTCGAAAAAAGTCGGAAAAAGTCGAAAAGTCGGAAAAAGTCGACCATTTATAAAATACTAAAAGTCGAAAAGTCTAAAAGTCGACTTTTAAATAAATGAAAAAGGTCGAAAAGTCGAAAAATCGACTTTTCATAAAATGGAAAAAGTCGAAAGGTCGAAAAGTCGACTTTTAACTAAATGCAAAAAGTCGACTTTTCGTTTCAACTATAGAACCCTAGTGTATATCAAATATGATCGCTTAAAGCACGTACAATAGAGTGTTCTGAGGGACAGCTTTTTTAAGAATTTCATATGGGAATAGTTTTCAATAGATGGGCATTAATGTATTCAACATGAGAAAAACAAAAAATATTTTTTTGGAATGGTGCTCTACTCTACTACAAGCTGCAATGGCTAACGTGCATCTTGTAATTGTATGCATGTTTTTATATCCTACACCACTATATTTCGCGTTTGTGCTGCTGTTTGTAACACCTAAAAATATTGGTTCTTCTACCAATCAGACTCAGAATTGCTTTCTGAGTCTATTAAGCTATCCGTCCGATACATTTTTAAGATACTCACTGGCATAGGGAATCATATGGACGTCCATGCCCAACTATACTTTCATACTTATTTTTTTCCATATATAAAGTGTGTGATATTGGCATAAACTTTATATAGAGGCGTTACGAGCAAAACATATTTCTCTCTCTTTCGCACAAAATGCTTACAATGATTTTTTGGTTACATTTTATATGCCTCTACCACCAGACAATTTCAAAATCAAACAAAAGCTAACTTTTTTATATATCAAAGGAGAAATCTGTGAAAACTTTGTACCAATATCGTTGCTAGTGTAAAAACACTTTAACGCACAAACCCACAACGCATATGGCAACACTAATTTCATTGTACAAATATTTGGCAACTTTCCACACAATTTTTCTCTTCCCTTTTTCTATATTCGCTTTTCATACTATTTTTCTTGTTGCCTATTATATTTTATTATTGACATTCGTACTGCATAGAAGTGCAAATTCGCTGCGCCACGGAAAAAAAATATTTTTATTTTTTAAAATTTTATAACCAATACAAAAATCAAAACCAATAAATTTTTAAATACATCGTGGAATTTTTTACTCAAAGCTAAATTTTAACAAAATCATAAGTAATTTTTAAACCGACAAAAAGAGAAATTGTAATAAAGAAAATTTTTTGTAAAACGTCATTCATCATACAGTGCTGTGTCATCAAGTAAAAAGAATAAAAAAAAAATTATTGCAGCCATAAATTACGAAAAAAGTGAAAAAATATATTTTTTTAGAAATTTTATTTGAATAACGAAAAAGTAAAGAAACAAAATTCAAATTGTTAAAAAAAAAATTGGAAAACTAAATACGAGTTAATACTGCGTGGGGTGTGAAAGTAATAAATTGTAAATTGGAGCAGAATTGAAGGCAGAAGAACAACATATTGTGGAAGAGAAGACTACACCTATTTTCAGCATTTCTTCTACATCTAATATTTTTTGTTCGTTCATTATATTTTTCAAAGCAGTCAGTCTATCAGTCAGCCAGCGTACTACTCAGTCATCGTTTCTTTTTTTATGTTTTCCTAAATCTAACTGCTTTGGCTGCTAGTTACCATATCCAAAACACTTTACTATTTGTGTTATTTTAGTGGTGTTTTTTTTTAATAAACGACTCTACTACGGTCTTTTAATTTAGTTTTTTTTTTGTGGTACAATTGTGGTGTCTCGTGACGTTTGTTCGTTCGTTTTAGCAGTGTTGCACATTCCCAGTTAGATTTTATTAGATTGGGTTCACTAACTCTACTCGCCAAATAGCAAGAAATACAACAAAACTAATAACAACATCTGCAACATTCACCAACTAAAATATTACTAAAACAATATAATTCCATTTACATTTTTATTTGTTAAAATTTTTTTATTTGCTGTTTGTTAATTCAGGTGAGTTGAATTACAAATGTATTTTCTTAACAAAATAAAATTCTTTATTTTTTTTTTCTCTATTCATTTATTATTGTAATTTTCTTATTTATTTTGGTGTTAATTTATGTATACGAACTTTCGTCTTGTTTTTTTCGTCTTCCCTTTTTGTCTCCTGTTTCTTCTTGTTTTGTACTTATATCAGGTATGGAAAATGCAGTGCTATTGTAGTTTCAGGACTTTTTGACATTTCTGAATATTGCAATAACTTACAAGAAATATTTTTTCTATATTAAAAACCTTTCTATGAACTAGATTTGTCAATAAAAAAAAATCCATAGACTAGTCAATAGTATAATCCATACACTAGTCTATAGGCTACTTAACTGAATAGTAAGTAAACTAGGCTATAAACAAGTAAATTGATTAGCATGTGATATATATAACAGTCTTCACAATTGACTAATTAATAAACCAGTGAATAGACTAGTCAATAGACTTGTTTATATACTAGCCTTTATGCTAATCAATATTAAATAGACTAGCTTTGCACTAGTGTAGTATTATTTCTAACTGTCAGTTATCCATGCCTGATTTACAATAGTATTTTTTATATATTTTCTCCACTTTGTTTATTTGTGTGTTTGTTTTTTTACATTCGTTCGTTGAAAACCGGAAATTTTATAATTGTACGATTTACAATTTTTTCTTTTATTTTGATTGTTTTTAATTTTTTTTGCTTTCTTTGTGCCACAAAATAGAAAGTAGTAGTATTTATTTAGAAATTATTACTAAAAATAATAATAAAACTATATGTATGGTTTTAGTTTTTTTTGCTTAATAATTTTCCTATTATTTTTTACACTAGACTGTTAAGAAGTTTAGGTTTGAGTTTGCTAAATATACAGTTAGGAAAAAGTAATTAGCACAGAACTGAATTTCTAGATTTCTTTTGTGGAATATACCTATGAAAATCTCAGGCAAACTTAAAATTTCGTTAATTTTTATGGCCTACAACACTATAGTGTCAAGGATTACCAGTTGACCTAATGGTGATTCAATTAGTCCTTAACCCTGTGATCGGACTGAAAGATTTTTTTGTTGGTCTAGTTGTAAAAAAACTCTAGAATAATATAATACATCGAATCATTTCATTTAAATCCTATTTCGATAAACGTTATTTCACCTCTGTTACAGAAGGAGGCCTCTTTATGATGCGCTTTGGTAAATCTTACCTATAAGCATCATTACTAGACACCCATACAAGAACAATAGGTCTTGAATATAGTTACTACTGTAACTGACATTTACCAAGATACAAGAGTCTGAAATTGCTATAACTCTCTGCTCCCAGCATTATCTGATATGGTTGTTCTAATGAAACACATACCATTATAGGCACCAGTTGCAGCAGTTGATATTCGTCTAACCACCAGGGCATTTCAATGAGTTTAGCAATTAAATGGACTCAAGTGAACTGTTCACGGGGTGTCTGCCTTTGAGCTAACCAAGCATTTATCTTTGTAACATCCTAAAATATTGGTTCTTAAGCCTACTTTAAGCATTCCAATCGATTCAGATCATGTCTGTTCATCTGTGTACTTGACCGTTTATCTAAAGTCAGCTCGTATTGATACTGATTTTGTTTAAAATAGGTCAATGATTTCAAATAAACCTTCGTTACAAAAATTTGTGAAAAAAAAATGTCAAAAATTTAAAAAGATTGATAATAATTAAATTATTATCAAATATTGATATCTGGGAAAAATTAATTTCAATTCAATCTTAATTTTAAACTAAACCACCCTGATTTTGCATAAAAATTAATAAACAATTTTATTAAAATTACCTAAATACAAAACTTTGCTTGAATTTTTTAACTGTCAATTACTGTACGTTATTAAAATAGTACTTTCATTGACCAATTACCTACTGTATAAAGCTAAAGATAATGATTTGCATTAAGCTTTATATAAAAAACTTTCTCATAAATTTAGCATTCATATTAGAACATACAAAGGATGATGAATCATCTTTCCACAGTTAGCAAACATATAGTTTGCAAAAGGGGATTTCCTTTATTCTATCGAATTTGAATAATCTCAATAAATTTGTATTTATGTATATGTTTGTTTTTAAAAAGAAAACAAAACTACAAAATTATTATACAATTTTATTTTTAACTTTGTTATCTAGTAAAATTTGTTTATATACTTTTATCTGTTTATTGTTAATTTAAATGTTTCACTTGAACAGTAAAGTACATTCTCCAAAACGCTTTGTTTTTTATGATATTGAAATATGTTTTTTTTTTTCTACATCTAAATTTTAAATTATTTTATTGTGTTTTTTGATCATTGAAAAACGACCAATATAAATGAAACAAAAGAAAAAGTCATAAATTAATAAATTAAGTTTTTTTTATGAATATTTTTAAAGTGCAATGACTTTATGACAGACACAAGAAGTTTTAGGTTTAAATTACTTAAACATAAATTCACTAATGATGAGTTAAATCTTAAAATATTAAAGTAAATGGGGTTAAAAACAAGTCAAGAAATTTGATTACAACAAATATATTCCGAAACTATTGTATAATTCAGCTGGAAAAACATTTCAAAAACTCTAATTAAAGACTATTTTATAATTTGAAATATTTTTTCTAAAATTCTCCATTGTGTAATCATATTTACTTTAATATCTTTTATAAAGACTACTAAATATTTTCGTATTAAATTTGTTTATCCTCTAAAAGTCATAATACAAATATTACTAAAGTTATTTTCTTTAGAAATATGATAACAATAATAACTGTTAATTAGCACATCTAACAATATTTTCTTAACGACCGCATGCCCTTTGCTGTCTCTGTTGTGACAAAGTTCTTTTAAATATTTGAATTCAAAACGTTAAAATGTTTGCCTTGAGACACTAACTGGTCATTGATCTTGAATTTTTACAAAATTTTTTTTTTCAAAATAAACACTTTCTTTTGCGTTTATTTTTTCATTTTACCTCAAATTTGTGTCTCTCTTTCAGTTATTATTATTTTTTATTCGTTATGTTCTGTTTTTATTTACAGTTTATATCAAGCTTTTTATTTTTTTCCAGTTTACTTCTTGATAAGATAAATAAAAGCGCTTCAACTGTATAGCTTTTTAAATGAGATTTGTATTTTACTTTTGAAATTGAGTCATACATACATTCGAAACTGTAGTTTCTCGAAATATACATACAAATCATGAGTAATTTGTCTAGGTTTCAATGGCAATAATGTTTTTATAACATTAATATTTTCGTTTTTATAGTTTTTAAATTAATAATTTTGCTGTGGTTTTGAGAAATAATTTAAATGTTATCATTTTTAATATAATTTTATAGAACTTTTTAATTGAAGGTAAATTTAAATCAATTATTGTTTTAATATATATTTCTATTTTAATAGAACTGAACTAGAACTGAACTAGAACTGAACTGGAACTGAACTAGAACTGAACTAGAACTGAACTAGAACTGAACTAGAACTAACTAGAACTGAACTAGAACTGAACTAGAACTAGAACTGAACTAGAACTGAACTAGAACTAGAACTGAACTAGAACTGAACTAGAACTGAACTAGAACTGAACTAACTGAACTAGAACTGAACTAGAACTGAACTAGAACTGAACTAGAACTGAACTAGAACTGAACTAGAACTGAACTAGAACTGAACTAGAACTGAACTAGAACTGAACTAGAACTGAACTAGAATGAACTGAACTGAACAGAACTGAACTAGAACTGAACTAGAACTGAACTAGAACTGAACTAGAACTGAACTAGAACTGAACTAGAACTGAACTAGAACTGAACTAGAACTGAACTAGAACTGAAGCTAGAACTGAACTAAGAACTGAACTAGAACTGAACTAGAACTGAACTAGAACTGAACTAGAACTGAACTAGAACTGAACTAGAACTGAACTAGAACTGAACTAGGAACTGAACTAGAACTGAACTAGAACTGATACTAGAACTGAACTAGAACTGAACTAGAACTGAACTAGAACTGAACTACTGAACTAGAAACTAGAACTAGAACTAGAACTGAACTAGAAACTGAACTAGAACTGAACTAGAACTGAACTAGAACTGAACTAGAACTGAACTAGAACTGAACTAGAACTGAACTAGAACTGAACTAGAACTGAACTAGAACTGAACTAGAACTGAACTAGAACTGAACTAGAACTGAACTAGAACTGAACTAGAAACTGAACTAGAACTGAACTAGAACCTGAACTAGAACTGAACTAGAACTGAACTAGAACTGAACTAGAACTGAACTAGAACTGAACTAGATCTGAACTAGAACTGAACTAGAACTGAACTAGAACTGAACTAAAACTGAACTAGAACTGAACTAGAAACTGAACTAGAACTGAACTAGAACTGAACTAGAACTGAACTAGAACTGACTAGAACTGAACTAGAACTGAACTAGAACTGAACTAGAACTGAACTAGAACTGAACTAGAGCTGAACAAGATCTTGGAATATATTCTGTGCATTTCCATATTTACTGGACAAATACACAACTGAACTAGAACTGAACTAGAACTGAACTAGAACTGTACTAGAGCTGAACAAGATCTTGGAATATATTCTGTGCATTTCCATATTTACTGGACAAATACACAATTGAATTGAAAAATTAACGTAAGATTTTTTGGTCGAAGTTTTGGTTTAAAGCCCCGTTTTCGGTTGTACTCTAAAACATTTTCTCTTATTTTTTAATCTCAAAAATTTAAAAGAAAAATTAGATTAGATATGTAAATATATAAAGATAAATAAGATATTGATAAGATATATTATAATCTGAAAAACTGAGATAATTTAATTATCTTAATATCAACTTTTTTGGCTAGTGGTATTGCTTTTTTTATTTTCTTTTAGTTATTAAAACTTTAGTAATTTTCATTTAAATTTTATTGTGTCTAGATGTTAATTTGTTTAATAACAGTTTTATTAATTTTTTTATTTAAAAATTTGTCTGTTTTTTTTGTGCTACTTATTCACTCTATTAACTTAAATAACCCCCTTATTTTCGACCTTGATATCAATCTATAAAATACTTAAGTAAATAGTACATGTAGACAAATAATAATTGATAAAAGCATTTTAATTTTTTTCTATTTTTGTTTTTGCCATTATCTCGACATTATGATAATGAAGAGTGATTAAAAAAAAGCTTTTAATACCTTTTATTTTTATAATTATTTCTTTTAAATTATTAAATTTACAAAAATTGATGCAATATCAACAAACATAATACACTGTTTACAATTGTATATGAAAAATTACTAACTAAAAATTGTATTAAATTATTTAGTTGAAATTTATAAACTATAGTTACCCAGCAAAAAATCTGAAATTTTTGGTAATAGCCAGTAGTTATTTCATACATTACTTGGTAATGAGTGTTCATTATCATCCACATTATTTCATTTAGCTGAATAGGTTATTACTGGTAAAGAACAAAACAATTTGGATTTGTTATGGCTCAATTGTCTAGGTCGTTTATTTAACAAACAGGGGGTTCGTGGTTCGAGCCCTGCTGGATACTGTTTATTTTTTTCAAAATGACATTCATTTATATATTTTTGTAAAATGCCGTTCTCAAAATTACAAAAAGCAACATGTTAATAGAGCATCGAGTAAGCGGCTGGAGTGAGAAACATAGAAAACAACTGAATGCCTGGGTTCAAATCCCGGCCGAGAATTTTTTTATTTTTTGTTTTCTACATACAAAGTCGGCCCAAAATAACTAGCTATCACATAACATATTTGTAGGTTTATTTGTAACTAGTTATTTCGCAAAGTTTTTGTAATCAAATTAGTAACCATTTATTAATTTGTTTAAGGTAGGTACATATTATTTGAACCTCGTCGAACAAAAATAATTAGTTATTCACCCCAAAAGTAATTAGTTTCCACGTGATTCCAATATTACTTTCTAGATTACTAGGTAATGAAAATTTTTGCTGGGTAGAAATAAAATTATTTTGAAAATTTTTGAAATTATAGTCCAACTTTTAGAAATACAAGTGGAAATGTTGTACATAAATAGTTTTGTGTGTGCGTACATAACAAGTATATAACTTTGTATATAAAATAAAAACTTACATTCTGAACACGTGACTTTAGTACGATTATAAACATTATTGAAATTCATTTGCAAATGAACTCGGGACGTGTACAATAAAATAATTTATAATTATTTTATTAAATTTCTAAAGGCAAACATGTCGTTGTTGTGCTTCAATGAGTAGAATTTATAATAAATAATATTATAAAGAAATATTAATTGAAATGTTTGGTTTCATTTTACAATAGGTGTATAATGTTTGTTGAGTCATTTGAAACATTTTATAGTATCATAAGTTTTGGATATTTACAGAAATGTTTGTAGATTTTAAATGATCTAGAACTGAACCAGAAATAAACTAAACCAGAATAAGAACTAAACTATCCTGACATGTTTCTATAGTGTAGGGCTAACATAAAGTCGTCGATATTAATAAAAATAATTGCTCAATGTTTTTCTTACCTTTTACACGATTAACTACCTATTGTTTGTCTGCTTAGTTATCGACAACATATTGGTTTTTATTTTGTTTGTTTAAATTTGTATGGTTTCATTTAAATTGTATATTGATTTAATTCTTTCTTATTATTTTTCTTTATTTTCACTTTCCAGACATTTTTTTGCTTTATTGCAAATTTAATTATTTCCGCTTTTGTTTATATATTGGTTATTTTAATTTAATTGTGTTTTTTTTTGGCATTTGCTTTTGGCCTGCAATGAACTTGTATCTTATATATTTGTTCATTTAAAGACTCTGCTTTGTATTCAAAAACATTTTTAAATAATGTATTGTTTTTCAAGTAACAATGACCTTAAGCAAACTCTTTCGCATATATACATACTAATAATGTATAGATTTTGTTGCATTTCGAAATAATTATTGTATCGTTTAGTGAATGAAGAGAGAAAAAAATATTTGTGAAAATATTTTGCAACTTGACCCTTTTGTATATTTAGATGAGTGCTGCTCTCTCGTCACGTTTCAAGGAGCAAATGCACTCACAATAAATATTTCAAATATGTGTTTAAAATCTTTGGTAAATGTGGAAAGGTTTTCATTGTAAACAAGTTACAAAATTTGTGTACATATTTATAAATATTTTGGTTGGATGAATATAATTAAAAAGCCAATCAAGTGAAATAAAAAGAGTTTATTGCAACAATTTGATAAACCATATAGGGAAATTTTGGAAAAATTTATTAAAATGTTTCAAAAAGGTTTAAAAATTTGTAAATTTTTATGTATAATAAAATAATGATGATATCATTAGTTCTAGTTCAGTTAGTTCAGTCCTAGTTCAGTCCTAGTTAGTTCCTAGTTGTCAGTTCTAGTTCAGTTCTAGTTCAGTTCTAGTTCGTTCTAGTTCAGTCTAGTTCAGTTTCTAGTTCAGTTCTAGTTCAGTTCTAGTTCAGTTCTAGTTCAGTTCTCAGTTCAAGTATCTAGTTCAGTTCTAGTTCAGTTCTAGTTCAGTTCTAGTTCAGTTCTAGTTCAGTTCTAGTTCAGTTCTAGTTCAGTTCTAGTTCAGTTCTAGTTCAGTTCTAGTTCAGTTCTAGTTCAGTTCTAGTTCAGTTCTAGTTCAGTTCTAGTTCAGTTCTAGTTCAGTTCTAGTTCAGTTCTAGTTCAGTTCTGTCAGTTCTAGTTCAGTTCTAGTTTCAGTTCTAGTTCAGTTCTAGTTCAGTTCTAGTTCAGTTCTAGTTTCAGTTCTAGTTCAGTTCTAGTTCAGTTCTAGTTCAGTTCTAGTTCAGTTCTAGTTTCAGTTCTAGTTCAGTTCTAGTTCAGTTCTAGTTCAGTTCTAGTTCAGTTCTAGTTCAGTTCTAGTTCAGTTCTAGTTCAGTTCTCGTTCAGTTCAGTTCTAGTTCAGTTCTAGTTCAGTTCTAGTTCAGTTCTAGTTCAGTTCTAGTTCAGTTCTAGTTCAGTTCTAGTTCAGTTCTAGTTCAGTTCTAGTTCAGTTCTAGTTCAGTTCTAGTTCAGTTCTAGTTCAGTTCTAGTTCAGTTCTAGTTCAGTTCTAGTTCAGTTCTAGTTCAGTTCTAGTTCAGTTCTAGTTCAGTTCTAGTTCAGTTCTAGTTCAGTTCTAGTTCAGTTCTAGTTCAGTTCTAGTTCAGTTCTAGTTCAGTTCTAGTTCAGTTCTAGTTCAGTTCTAGTTCAGTTCTAGTTCAGTTCTAGTTCAGTTCTAGTTCAGTTCTAGTTCAGTTCTAGTTCAGTTCTAGTTCAGTTCTAGTTCAGTTCTAGTTCAGTTCTAGTTCAGTTCTAGTTCAGTTCTAGTTCAGTTCTAGTTCAGTTCTAGTTCAGTTCTAGTTCAGTTCTAGTTCAGTTCTAGTTCAGTTCTAGTTCAGTTCTAGTTCAGTTCTAGTTCAGTTCTAGTTCAGTTCTAGTTCAGTTCTAGTTCAGTTCTAGTTCAGTTCTAGTTCAGTTCTAGTTCAGTTCTAGTTCAGTTCTAGTTCAGTTCTAGTTCAGTTCTAGTTCAGTTCTAGTTCAGTTCTAGTTCAGTTCTGGATCAGTTCTAGTTCAGTTCTAGTTCAGTCCTTTTCTTTTTTAGAATTGTTGCCTTGACAATTATTGATTCTTGTATTCGACATATAAATTTGCATGTAGATAATTCCTATTTTTTAATGTTTGTTAAAACCCCTGAGATTATTTAAACAAAACCATTTTGTCTCAACAATTTCACAATTATTATTTTATATAGAACACACTTAAATACTTTTAATTTTTCTCCCAATTTTTTTATCTCTAGAATTGTTTTATTTTATTACGATTTTATTAAAACCTAATTATTTCATTATCATATAATTTTCACCTTTATATTAAATCATATTAAATAATACAAAAATGCTTTAAATTATTTACATATATTTCAATTTTTTTAATCTTGTTGTATCTCTTAGCTTGCTTTGGAGCACTAAACAAAATAAACTTAAATAAAACGCCAAAATAAAATAAAGTTTAAACAAACAAATAATAAATCACTTTAAACTTAATTTGCAAATAATAATAATACGTATAAAAAAAAAAAGAAAACAAATCAAACAAAGCCTTAAATACAAAACAAGGTTCGGAAAAGTAAGTTCTAATGAAATTGAGTGTGTGTTTGTGTTTTAATTTTTCACCAAAGATAACTGAACTTGTGGTTACTTTTTTGTTTACTATTTTTATTTTCACCTTAGAATGAAAAACATAAATAAAAACAGAAAAAGCTTCAAATACGATTCTAATTTTTTGAAATAACTTTTCGTACAAAAAACACTTCAACACTCCATCAATCCCACTCCACAACTCCCTCTACCACAAAAAAATCTCAAATATATTTTTATTAAACAAAATTTATAACTAAAATAAACACTTATTTTTTTGTTATTAATTTCAGACACTTGTTATAATTGTTTTTTTTTCTTTATAATAGCTGTTCGGTTAATTTCTTTATACTGTTTTGTATTTTTCCAAAAATATATATTTAATTTTTCTTAAATTTGTTTTTCAAAGATTTCTTTTTTGTTGTTTTTATCTTAATATTTCATTCATAAGTATTTCAGTTTTATTTAAAAGATGCTTTATTGTTAGTGTAATTACTATCTTTTCTATTAACTGTTTGGTTTTTAGACCAAATTGAAACATTTCTAATTATTTGGTTGTTATACTAATTAATCATTTCAACATTATTTTGTACAGTGGAGAACATAATAAGGGCAATCAAAATTATTAGCTTATGTTAGCAGAGTATAGATAGATAGATAATAGATAGATAGATAGATAGATAGATATAGATAGATAGATAGATAGATAGATAGATAGATAGATATCATAGATAGATAGATAGCTAGATAGATCGATCGATGCTCGATGATCGATAGATACTCGATCGATCGCTAGATAGATCTCGCTCGCTCGCTCGCTCGCTCGCTCGCTCGCTCGCTCGCTCGCTCGATCGCTCGCTCGCTCGCTCGCGCTAGCTCGCTCGCTCGCTCGTCGCTCGCTCGCTCGCTCGCTCGCTCGCTCGTCCTGCTCGCTCGCTCGCTCGCTCGCTCCTCCTCGCTCGCTCTCGCTCGCTCGCTCGCTCGCTCGCTCGCTCGCTCGCTCTCGCTCTCTCGCTCGCTCGCTCGCTCGCTCTCGCTCGCTCGCTCGCTCTCTCGCTCGCTCGTCGCTCGCTCGCTCGCTCGCTCGCTCGCTCGCTCGCTCCCTCTCTCCTCGCTCGCTCGCTCGCTCGCTCGCTCGCTCGCTCGCTCGCTCGCTCGCTCGCTCGCTCGCTCGCTCGCTCCTCGCTCGCTCGCTCGCTCGCTCGCTCGCTGCTCGCTCGCTCTCTCGCTCGCTCGGTCCTCTCTCGCTCGCTAGCTCGCTCGCTCGCTCGCTCGCTCGCTCGCTCGCTCGCTCGCTCGCTCGCTCGCTCTCTCTTCTCTGCGTCGCTCGCTCGGCTCGCTCGCTCGCTCGCTCCTCGCTCGCTCGATCGCTTCGCTCGCTCGCTCGCTCGCTCGCTCGCTTCGCTCCTCGCTCCTCGCTCGCTTCGCTCCTCCTCGCTCGCTTCTCGCTCGCTCGCTCGCTCGCTACGCGCTCGCTCGCTCCGCTCGCTCGCTCGCTCGCTCGCGCGCTCCCGGTCTGTCGCTCGCTCGCTCGCTCGCTCGGCTCGGCTCCGCTCGCTCTCGACTCGCTCGCTCGCTCGCTCGCTCGCTCGCTCGCTCGTCGCTCGGCTCGCTCCGCTCGCTCGGCGCTCGCTCGCTCGCTGCATCGCTCGCTCCTAGCTCGCTCGCTCGCTCGCTCCTCGCTCCTCTCGCGCTACGCTCGCTCGCTCTCTCGCTCGCTCGCTCGCTCGCCTCGACTCGCTCGCTCGCTCGCTCGCTCGCTCGCTCGCTCCTCGCCTCTCTCGCTCGCTCGCTCGCGCGCTGCTCGCGCGCTCGCTCGCTCGCTCGCTCGCTCGCTCGCTCGCTCGCTCGCTCGCTCGCTCGCTCGCTCGCTCGCTCGCTCGCTCGCTCGCTCGCTCTCGCTCTCTCGCTCTCTCGCTCTCGCTCGCTCTCGCTCGCTCGCTCTCGCTCGCTCGCTCGCTCGCTCTCGATCGCTCGTCGCTCGCTCGATAGCTCTCTCGCTCGCTGGATGGATCTCTCCCGATTGCCGCCACAGTACTTGGTTTTTTTTTGGGCTTTTGGGTGTCATATCTGGATGTGAAGCTCGCATTCTTTTAACTAAATAAATTTCCTATTTGTTGCCAAAATATATAAATTTCGAATAACGCACAAATAAAACTATGTTAAAGTCTTTAGAACGACGCATATTTCGTAGTACGCAGAGTTGAAAAAGAAACAAATTAAAATTGTCGAAATAATATTAGCTCAAAACTTTTTTTGTTGTCCACAAATTTATTTTTCATTTTACAACACACAATCAATTAAATATTAAATACACTTTAGCACACAACAAGAAGAACAACACGAAAAAAGAAACAAACCACCTTAAATGTTCTCCACTGTACACACACCAACTTAAATATTCTACTTTATTTTTAGCTGATATAAAAGTTATGTTTTAATTGAAATAATAGTAATAATAAAAGGAAAACAAAGAAACTAACGAAACAGTTTAATTTTCCATTTAAATCTTTATTTTCGTGTAACTTTTTCTAGGATTGGTTGTTATTATATTTAGGCACTATATTCAATAAGTGTTAACTCAAAAAAGCTAAGTAAAGTGTAAAATTTGTTTAAATTTGCATAATGTTGCACTTCTTGAGTTAGATTCAAAATGTAGATTCAAATTAAGATATCGAAAATGCATTGAGGTATCATTTGCCATTAAAAGTTAATTTTAGTCTAAGTTTGAGTTAGCACTTTTTGAATATAGGGTATCGTTATTTTATTTTTGCAATTATGAAATAGTTTCTTTTATTCTTCTTCTACGGTACACACAGAATGTGCAAATACAAATGACGTAAACATACACGAAAGACAAGTAAAAGTCTTCAGTGTCAGATTAGAAACTTGTAAGGCTTGTGTTGCTCCTCTTCTTCCTGTGTAAGCTTTCCAATATTCTACCAACTGTCTGTTGCCGCTAGACTTAGATACTTCTGAATAATAATTCTCTAATGTGGTTATAGTTTTTTTAGACATTTGCTAGGCGAGTACTATAACACAGCTGAATAATATTATTTTTTACTTTTAACTGTAAAAAAACATAACTTTTATAAAAGTTTTTATAACGAAATAAAAAATGTAAAAGATTATTTTTTTATTATTTTGTTAATTAAAGTAATTAATTTAAAATGTTTATTTTTTCTAATTTACTTTAAAGTGCGAAAACATAAAGACGATATGCAAGTCAATGTGGCAGGTTTACGTCGCAATATTAAAAATTTAGCCCACAATTACTCTGATGCCCAGGTAATTATTTCGAATATGAGTATTAAAAATTTCTTTTAATTACCTTATCTTTTCTTTTCTTCATAAAGGTTAAAGTACGTGAGGCTACTTCAAATGATCCATGGGGTCCCTCAGCCACTATAATGGCAGAAATTGCCGAACTAACCAACAATGTGGTGGCCTTTTCCGAAATAATGCAAATGATTTGGAAAAGGCTTAATGATCATGGCAAAAATTGGCGTCATGTCTATAAGGCTCTCATACTGCTGGAATATCTAATTAAAACTGGCAATGAAAAAGTGTCTCAACAGTGCAAAGAAAATATATTTGCTATACAAACACTACGTGAATTTACGTATTTTGAGGAGGGCAAAGATCAAGGTACTCATGTTAGGGAAAAGGCTAAACAATTGGTTAATCTTCTGAAGGACGATGAACGCCTGAAGAATGAACGTGTTAAAGCCTTAAAGGCTAAGGAACGTTTTGCTCAATATCCAAGTGGTTTTGGTAGTGATGGCTATATTGATGGTCCTTTGCAACGTGATTTACGTGATATGCCACCCGGTTGGCAGGAGGAGCCAGCCAAACCTGTATCCGAGCTGGAAATGGTACGTCCTCAAACTGCGGGCGAAGAAGAATTACAACTACAATTGGCCATGGCCATGTCACGTGAGGAAGCTGAACAGGAAGAGGCTAAACGCCGCAGTGATGATGTTCGCCTACAATTGGCTTTGAGTCAAAGCGAACAAGATTTTAAGTAAGTTGTTTATTAAATCCCCAAGGTCCTACTCAAACTAATTAATTATCAAAATTCTAGGGTGCAAAAACAACACGACGAAGAGCCACAATCACATTTATTGGATCTTTTGGATATACAACTGGGAGCCACCAGCATTTCCAGTCCACCTTTAGGTTTAGCCGCTGGCGGCTTAACCAACAACCCTTCAGATCCTTGGGGCACACCAGCACGAGCGGCTAGTCAAATGTCTGATCCTTGGACTGGTACAGCTTCACCACCGGTTGATCCCTGGCAACCAACTGCAGCATCACGTTCCACTCCTTTGGCACAAATGGGAGCCGTAGGCGGTTTAGGCGCTCTCACGATGGCTACCAATGGCACTAATGGCGGTGAGGCTTGGGGTGGTTTGCGTACACAATCTCCATCTGTTACATCGGGTTCCTCCGCCGAAGGCTGGCTACAAACTAATGGTAATACTCAAAATTCCACAAATTTAGCGGGCGCTGTTGGAGGTGCTGGCGCAACAGCGATCGATCCTTGGCTTTCAAAACAATCAGTTAGTGCACTGGCAGCGCCTGTCTCTAATGCAGCACCCTTAGATCCATGGTTAACAGAAAATGCTAAACCAACTACTGCAGCTGCTGTTCCTCCAACAACTAAACCATTGATTGATGATCCTTGGGCACCAAAGACATTAACAGCTAGCAATGATGATCCCTGGAAGAATATCGAGAATACAACAGTAGCTAAGGTGAGTTTAAGGAGATTTGAAAAAGAAAATTTTCGATCATTTCTTTTTTTTTTTAAGAAATTTTAGAAAATTTAAGATAAATTTACTTTTTATAGAAAATTTTTCGAAATTTTTCAATTTTTTCTAAAAAAATTTCGAATAATTTCTCTTTTAGAGGGAATTTTTGAAAATTTCACTTTCTATAGAAAATTTTCGAAAAATTTCACTTTTTATTGGAAATTTTTTTTGAAAATTTCACTTTTTATTGGAAAATTTTTCGAAAATTTTCACTTTTTATATAAAATTTTCGCTTTTTATAGTTTTTTTTTGAAAAATTTATATTTTTTTCTAAAATTTCACATTTTATTGGAAATTTTTTTTGAAATATTTTTCGAAATTTTTCAATTTTTCTAAAAAATTTCGAATAATTTCACTTTTAGAGGGAATTTTCGAAAATTTCACTTTCTATAGAAAATTTTCGAAAAATTTCACTTTTTATTGGAAATTTTTTTTGAAAATTTCACTTTTTATTGGAAAATTTTTCGAAAATTTTCACTTTTTATAGTTTTTTTTTGAAAAATTTATATTTTTTTTTTCGAAAATTTCACATTTTATTGGAATTTTTTTTTGAAATATTTTTGAAAATTTTCACTTTTAATACAAAAATTTTCGAAAAATTTTACTTTTTATGAAAAAATTTAGAAAAATTTTACTTTTTAAATTTTTATAGAAAATTTTAATTTTCTCTTATTCATAGAAAATGTTCACTTTTTATAGAAAATTTTTTAAATTTCTATTTTTATAGAAAATTTTTTAAATTTCTATTTTTATAGAAAATTTTTTAAATTTCTATTTTTTCATATAAAATTTATCTTCTAATAGAAATCTCATTTATTTCAATATTATTAATCTTTCACATATTTCTAAAATTTTTCCAGAAACCTTCACCTGATATGGACGAATTTGATATAATAACGAATCGTAATAAGACTGGTGATTTATTAACAACAAATGATTCCACAACAAATATCAGTAATAATAATGGTAAGGTCTTATTTTATACTAAAATTTTCTAACATTTTATTAAAATTTTCAAAAAATTTTCCTTGCAGCACTTCTACTTGATGATTTAGATCCTCTATCGTCAACGACTACCACAACAAATTCGACTGGAGCAACAGCTAAGAAACCGCTTAAAGATCCACAATCATTTTTGGGTGAAAATTCGGGTTTGGTTAATTTAGATAATTTAATAAAGCCTGCCGTACCACAAACTACAGCAGCAAATGCCGCAGCTTATAATCCATTTAGTGATACAGTTATACCACCAAAAACAAATCTATTCCAACAACAGCAACCAGCAGTATGTTTTAATAAATAAAAATCTTTTTAAATTATTACAATATTTTATTTATTGTTTTCTCTTTTTAGGTGCCGTCCATAAATCAATTAAAACAACAAAGTTTTCAAATGACCATCAATCAAGATCCTTGGGCACCTGTTAATAATACAAATGTAGCAGCTTCTCAGGTAAGCTTTAGTTTTTAACATTCAACTAAGTTAACACAACAAAATGTAATAGGGAAATGGTCAACTTAAATAAGAACTATAACAGTTATGAACAGGATTGTTTTATAATGTTGTTTAGGCAATTGTCTGTTATACTATTTTATTTATTTCTTATTTTCTTTATTTTTTTTCGTATACTATATACATTTCTTATTTCTTTTAAAACTTATTTATTTGTTATTTTATAATGATTTATTTTTTAATTTATTTTCCCCCTTTTTTACAAAACTCTACAAAACTTATTGCGAAACATTACTCTGCCTTTCTCTCTCTCTCTCTATCTTTCAATCTCTATAAATTTCTACATAATAATTCATTTTTCCTCTATGCATTTTATTATTTATTTAATTTTATTATGCATGTTGTTTTATTTTATTTTGTGGTCTGTTTTGTCTACATATGAAATGTTAAAAAGTTCTTAAACTTGAATACCTCTACTGCTCCTGCTCCTCCTCCTCCCGTACCTCTAAGACCTACTACTTTAAATCTCAATCTAAGCAATAGTTTTTTAAGTCAACCACCAACCTTTAGTGGTTACAATTTCCCAAATAATCCCACTTATGCCACGACAATGAAACATTCAAAAAGTGATAATGATGCTTTTAATACAATTTTTCAAATTGACAACGAGGATATTACGTCAAAGGTTCCCAAAAATTCTCTATATAATTTTACAACATCTCATACCATGGACAATTTACGTAGCGATTCTTTCAATGATGACAATAGTTTTTTTGAGGCTATTGATGCGTTTAATACACAAAATACCAAAACTATATCCTATCCCTCTTTATATCCTCATGTGGAAATTGTTAATAACAATCAAATGAATACCAAATCACCACCTTCTTCTCCCCTACAACAACAAGATTTATTATCGCCTTCATTGGACTCATTCGCTCCATATGCACCCTTAACTCCCTTAACTCCTCAAGAAACACAATTCGATATCAATAATATTTACAATAACAACTACAACAATAATCAATACAACAACCAAACCAACAACAATAACAATTCATCAAACATGACATCATGGTCTTCGAATTTAGGCAATGCGAACGCAGCCACCAAATCTTCTGGTCCCAACTATAGTCATGCCCTATCGGCATCCTTGGCTTCCACTCCTGGAGTAACTATAATGCCATTGAATAACAAATCAAGTTCAGCTTCAAATCTATTCAATTATGGTTTTTATGATTCCAATAATGAATTCAATACTACTACTAATCAGTGCCAATTGGAAGTGAGTACAACTCTACTACTACAACTATTACTTGCAACATTTTATAGTTTGTTGTTATTCTTTTGTTTTCTAATTATTTTAATTCTTATTCTTTTTTCCTTTTTTCCACTATATTTTTCTTCTTTGTTTTTATTGTTGTTGAGTTAATGTTTGCTAGTGAAATTTGTTATTTTTTTATATAAGTTGTTATTTGTTTTTTTTCTTATTCTTTTCTTTGTATTTAAATTTGTAATTGATTTATTATTGCTAATTTGTTTTTAAACAAATATATGTTTTAAAATTGCAAAACAAATTTGTTTGTGAACTTTATCAATTAGATAAGTGTTTATTACCAAAAATTATTGTGACGTTAGTTCTGTGTAGATTTAAAAAGGTGCAGTGAGTGCCACCAAAGTTGTTAATTTGCTCTAATTGACTTGCCCAATTTTCATGTGTTTTATTGTCGATACTTTAGCAAACATTTTACAATTTGTAAAAATTCTGATTAAAAACTTATCTTTGGATTGATCTTCCCCCTTATTGGGATTAATTAGTGAGAATATTGAGACTATTATCAAACAAGGGGCATCGTAACGAAATGATTTGGACAAATTGATAAAACAACCCAGCATGCGTTCTATGTTATAGATTTATTATTATTTAGCCGATTAATCAGCTGTTTAGGTTTAGATTACAAAGTGTTATACACCATAAGGTCCATTGTGATTCCCTTCAAAGAGTGAACTTTCTTCATAACGCATCGTAACAAAATGAAAGTGATTTGGACAAATTGTTAAACTCCCAGCATGCGATCCATTTTATAGATTTACTGCTCCTATTTAAGATTCATAGTTAGTAATCCTTATTTAGCCGATTAACCAGCTGTTTAGGCTTAGCTTAAGAAGGGTTGAAAACGGTGCATATCCACTCGGAGACCATAAGGTCCATTGTGATTCCCTTCAGAGAGTTAAGATTCAAAAACAGAGAAACAAAAAGCACCACAAGAAAACCGTAAAGAAAGAAGAAGACAGTTAAAAAAGGATAGATATAAAGCCCAGTCGAAGAAGTGATTAATGCCCTTGGCAAAATCCTATAAACGGCGAGGGTCAAGACCCGCAATATCCCACATTTCATCATGGAATCTGCTCCCCAGCCATTTCAGCCTGAGATTCTGTATCCTAGGACAGTAGCAAATTATGTGTTCGATCGACACTATTTCCTCCTCATCCTCGCATACCCTACAATAGTCCGGTGTATTGCTGTCCCACTTATTGACAAAGGCCCTAAATGAGCAATGCCCTGTTAGCATCCCTATCTGAAGTCATTGACTGCGTCTATCTAGTCTAATAAGTATTTTGGTAGTGCCCATACCAAGTTTTGGCCATAGGGCCTTTGATACTTCGCAATTCAATTCACTAATCAAGGACTGGATTATGATGTCACGGATTCTTTCGAATACCAGCCTATAATAGTAACAAATGCGATGTTTTACTGTCCTTTCTCTGTCATCTATGTATATCAAGGTTTGAACCTATTCTAGCCAGTTCGTCCGCAACCTCATTACCATGCACATTACAGTGCCCCGGTACCCAACAGGGAGTCTGAAGCACCGTTTTATGTTGATATCAGCGATATAGACACCGGCACCCGTGTCGGTATCCATCTTGAACCCATTAGTGAAAACTGCACACCCACCAAACAGTCTATCGGATACAAGCCAATCATCCCTAGTCGGAAGTTCTATCAACTGACCCCAGATCGATATGATTCCGTATTAGTTCCGTCGCTTTCTAGATCGCTAGGATCTCTGCTTGGAAGACACTACATTCGTCAGGGAGTCTGAAGAACCGTTTTATGTTGATATCAGCGATATAGACACCGGCACCCGTTTCGGTATCCATCTTAGACCCGTCAGTGAAAACTATACACCCACCAAACAATATATCGGATACAAGGCAATCATCCCTAGTCGAAAATTCGATCAGATGTGTTTCCCCGAATTCTAGAGTCGTAATATCATAATCCGTAATTCCTCGAAGGGAATTACCCTGATCAAGTAGACCTGCTTCGTACAGAATTTTTGTATGGTCGTCAAGCGAAGGTTTGACTAACGAAGTCTCGTAGAGTCTTAGCAGATTCCTAGCCACCACTCCCGCTAGAAAATGTTCTATGGGTGACAGGTATATGGAATGATGTCCAAGGCCGCTTGTGGAGTGCTTGTAATGGCACTCATAATGCCAATAGAGGCACACCTTTGAGCTTTATTGATCATTTTTCTATAACCGTACTTTCTCAAGGCCTCCCAACCAGACAATGCAAAACCATAAGTTAGAAAAGGTCTAACAACCGATGTGTAAATCCAATTTACCATATCTGGTTGCAGACCCCAATTCTTTTTGCATGTGTAATAGGCAGTTGTTAATTCTTCAGAATTACAGTTATAAAGGAAGACTTTTTTTAAATAACTGAATGATTTATTGTCCTTATTTTGAAAAATTCCCATTTTTGTAGCATATTTTAGAAAAAATCCCTTTTTAAAAGAAATTATTGCAAAATTGCATTTTTGTAGGAACTTTCCGAAAAATTTCTGTTTTTTATTAAATTCTGAAAAATTCCTTTTTAGGAAATTTCCGAAAAATTCCCTTTTTCATAGGAAATTTTCGAAAAAATTACTTTTTAAAGGATATTTTCGAAAATATTCCCTTCTCTATAAGAAATTTTCGAAAAATTCCCTTCTCTATAAGAAATTTTCGCAAAATTCCCTTTTTTATAGGAAATTTTCGCAAAATTCCTTTTTCTATAGCAAGTTTTCGCAAAATGCCCTTTTCTATAGGAAATTTTCGCAAAATTCCTTTTTCTATAGGAAATTTTCTCAAAATCTCTTTTTGTGTTCTTTAAAAAAGGAATTTTTCGAAAATTTCCTACAGAAAAGGAAATTTTCCCAAAATTCCCTTTTTAAAGGAAATTTTCCCAAAATTCTCTTTTTAAAGGAAATTTTCGAAAAAAATCCTTTCTGTAGGAAATTTTCGAAAAATTCCTTTTTCAAAGAAAATTTTCAAAAAATTCCCTTTAAAAGGAAATTTTCGAAAAATTCCTTTAAAAGGAAATTTTTGAATTCCCTTTTTACGTGAAATTTTGAAATTCTCTTTATATAGGAATAGTTATGAAAATATTTCTTTTTTATGGGAAATTTAAAAAAAAAATTCCCTTTTATTAGAATTTGTTCCCGCTTTTAAAGGAAGACTTTTGTAAAATTATGTTTTAATAGGAAATTTTTTATAAAATTACCTTTTATTATGAAATTTGTTTTAAAAATTCTTTTGTGTAGGAAATTTTATGGGAAATTATTAAAAAAAAATTTCGTTATGGTAAATTTTAAAAGCAAAATTTTGAAAAAATTCTCCGTATTTAGAAAACGTTCGAAAAATTTTCTTTTTAAGATTATTTTTCGAATTGTATTGCTAAGTGAATTTATATATTTGTAAAGTGATTGGTTTTAAATTTTCCAAAATTGTTTGCTTGTATGTAAAGTGATATTGATAAGTTTTTATTGTTAATGACGCCAAAACAAAATAAATTTTAATTAAAACAAAAATTATGCCATATTTAATACAACTAATGCTGACCTTTATGAATGTAATGCTAATAATATTTAATATTCAATTGCAATTTTATATCTTGTAGCCAACAATGGAAGCTTGGACGCTTAAATAAACTGGGTAAAAATAATAAAAAAATCTTAACTATTAACTATAACTCTACTAGTTTGTATATATTCTGCTCTTAATATGATTTTTTTTTTCTAACCTAATACTAACCAAAATGTAGTTTAGTAGAACTAAAAGACTTAGTAGATATAATTAGTATTTTTGTAAATGATTGGTGTAGATATATTTTATTCTATTTCTCTACAAAATTTGTCACCAAATTTGCATGCTATAAACATATTTTTTATTTCTTTTTTTAATTTAAAAATTTGTTTATTTAATTTTCATTTTTTAATTAATTTTCTTTACAGAACAACAATAACATGCCTTGGATGAAACCGGAAGCAACAGCATCGAATCCATTTTTGTCATAAACAAAATAACAAAAAAAGCGTTAAATTCAAAAATATTTATATAATTTTGTTTATTATTTTTTTATATAAATTAAGTCGATAAATTATATATAATTTTTCCTAGTTGAACAAATTAATTACAAAAACAACAAGAAATCAATATGTTTTAAATTTTTTGGAAAATAATTTATACACACTTATACACACACATAAATGCCTATAAATAAATTATTAAAAAAAAACGAGAAAAGATAAAAAAGAAACACAAAAAATTAATTCAATAATATTTTTTATGTAAATGTAGATTAAAACAAGGATGATGATGATGATGATGATAAAAAAACGATTATAAATTAATTCATTTTTTTAATCTTTAAGTATTATAATTGTAATAAATATGAGAAAAAAATGCTTTCAAAAAAGTAAATTTGAAATACAAATTATTTAAAAGGGAGTCTGGCATAATCAATTAATTGTGATAGCGGATCCTATTAAAGGTTAACCCAATGGACTCTGAACTGTAATAGGACTGAAAAGGCTGTATATTTAACTTTCTCTCTTGTAACACAAAACTAAATGTATAATTTTCATGACCTTATTTAGGTCAGTTTTACAAAGTTTACATTTTAAATAAGTTTTTCTTCTATAAGTAAAACCTGGAAAAGTTATTCCCTTCTGGCCAATTTAAATTATCTCATTTTATGTTTTGCTGAACCCAAGAAGAGTCACTCTAACATTTTCATCAGCTTGATGATGTTTGTGTTGTGCATTTGATATTTTTCTTTTAATTTAAAATACCAAATAGGTGCTGAAATAATCCATATACTCACTCGTACTCACAGCAACTCTAACACCATAGAGCCTTTAGAAAAAAAAAAATAGAAAGAAAAAATATATCGGCACGATTATGCTAATTATTTCGTTTCATTTTTCCTTTTTTTTATATATATGTATGAACGATGTATGTGATTTTTTTTTCTTTTAATTTGTTATGAATGGTTTGTCAGCAGAGAAAGTGTTCACATATCCATGCATTCACTCATGCTTTGGCAAAGTAAGTTTTTCCTTTTGCCAAAAAGGAAAAAAAAAAACATAAAATACGAAAATGTTAAAGAAACATGAAGAAAAACGGCGGCCCGCCCACACTTCAAATTTACGGTATGAATTTTGTTAGAGGATATCAAACAGACAGCTAAGCCAAGCAGGCTTGTTTAAACAATTTTATAATTTGCACAAAACGATAAACAATTGAAGCAACATCAACATGAAAATGTCTTTAAAACAATAGCAAATTGTTATAAAGTGCAGTAAGTAAAATATTTATGTGATTATGTATATCTACATACACTTAAGCCTAGTAATGCCAGACATAATTACCTTTGACATGCTTGTTAGCAAAGATCCAGAAGAACTGATGTATTCGTCATTAGGCTTTTAAAAGGTAGGCATCAAACTTGTTCGGATTTATATATTGACAAATTTCGATAAAAGCTCTTTTTATTGACAAATTTCGATAAAAGCTCTATTCTAGAAAATCTTAGATAAAAGCTTTTTTTGTAGAAAATATTCGTTAAATGTTCTTTTTCATAGAAAACTTTCGACAAAAGCTCTTTTTAGAGAAAATTTACGATAAAAGCTCTTTTTCATAGAAAACATATGACAAAAGCTCATTTTATAGAAAATATTCAATAAAAGCTCTTTTTTATAGAAAATATTCAATAAAAGCTCTTTTTTATAGAAAATATTTTATAACCCCTTTTTTTATAGAACATTTTCGATAAAGCTTTTTTTATAGAAAATTTTCTATATAAGCTCTTTTTTATAAAGAAAAATTTTGATAAAGCTTTTTATAGAAAATATTCTATTTTATATATCTTTATATAGAAAATATTCTATAAAAGCTTTTTATATAGAAAATATTCCATAAAAGCTCTTTTTATTGAATTTTTTCGATAAAAGCTCATTTTTATACAAACTTTACGATAAAGCCTTTTTATGTACAATTTTCGATAAAGAGAACAATTTTGATAAAGCTCTTCATAGAAAATTTTTGACAAAAGCTCTTTTTTACAAATAAATTTTCAAAAAAAAAAAACACTTTTTCTATAGATACATTTTCGATAGAAGCTCTTTTTATATAAACAAATTTTGAAGAAAGCTCTTTTTATAGAAAAATTTCCATTAAAATTCTTTTTTTGGAAAATATTCGATAAAAGCTCTTTTTTATAGAAAATTTTCGATAGAAACCTTTTTTATATAAATTTTTCTATAAAAGTACTTTTTTATAAAGAACATTTTTAATAAAGCTCTATATAGAAAATTCTAATTAAAAGTACTTTATATAGAAAATATTCTAAAAAAAGCTTTTTTTTATAGAAATAATCTATAAAAGCTCTTTTTATAAAAAATATTCGATAAAAGCCTTTTTTATAGAAAATATTCAATAAAAGCTCTTTTTACAGAAATATTTGATAAAAGCTCTTTTTATAGGGAAAAATTTTGATAAAGCTCTTTATAGAAAATGTTTTATAAAAGCTCTTTTTATAGAAAATATTCGATGAAAGCTCTTTTTTATAGAAAATTTAAAGCCTTTTTTATATAAACTATTTAATAAAGCTCTATATAGAAAATTCTAATTAAAAGCTCTTTATATAGAAAATATTCTAAAAAAGCTCTTTGGTATAGAAGTAATCTATAAAAGCTCTTTTATAGAAAATATTTGATAAAAGGTCTTTTTATAGAAATAATCTATAAAAGCTCTTTTTATAGAAAATTTAAAGCCTTTTTTATATACAATATTCGAAAAAAGCTCATTTTTATAGGGGACAATTTTGATAAAACTCTTTATAGAAAATGTTCGATAAAATCTCTTAATAGAAAATATTCGATAAAAGCTCTTTTTTTATTGAAAATTAGAGCCTTTTTTATATATAATTTTCGATAAAAGCTCATTTTAATAGGGAACAATTTTGATAACGCTACAAAATTTTTACAAAAGTTCTTTTTGTGGCAAATATTCGATAAAAGCTCTTTTTATAGAAAATTTTAATTAAAAGCTTTTTACATAGAAAGAAATATGTAAAAGTTCTTTTTATAGAAAATATTCTATAAAAACTTATAAAAATTTTTTTTCGATAAATCCTTATTTTTTAAAGAAAATTTTCGATAAAAGCACTTTTTTTATAGAAAATTTTCGATTAAAGCTGTTTTTTATATATAAATTTTCGATAGAAGCTCTTTTTTTGAAGAAAACTTTTTTTATAGAAAATTTTCGATAAAAGCTTTTTATTGAAAAGTATTTGATAAAAGCTCTTTGTATGGAATCCTTCGTTCATGATAGTAGCTTCTCATAGATTGCATTTTATTTAGAAAATGTTGAACTTTTTGAAAAGAAAATCAAACATGACATTCTAGGGATAGATGTGGGTAAGTATACAGTTTCCAAAAGTACCTGAAACATGTATCAATTGTATGTAAGGATGTGTTTTTTTATTGTTTGTAGTTGCATATATAATATTGCATAATTGAAAGATTGTCTTGCTGTTGTGTTTTTCATCAAACACCTTAACCGTTTTTTATTGTTGTCTGCAGGTTATCAGGAATATTCAATTAAGATATACATACATAAATAACGTTTATTTTGTAAATATTTAAAAATACACAATTACATATACTACAGGTATGTCAGCTAATAAATATTGAAATCATATTATGATTTAATATGTTTCATAATATTATTTGGAAAAAAGTCTAATATTAAACATATACATAAAAAGAAAGGAAATGACATTTTCCCTTATCCAATTTAAACTACAAATTAAACAAAATTTTGGGTATAAAATTATCATATGTTAGCGTACGACGTCATCGTGGGTGCTACTACTTACCATTAACTTTAGACTAATTCTATGAAAACAATTTAAATTAAAATACAAAACTGGTTTTAAACTTTATTAACAAATAATAAGCAAGTCTATAGCGGATTTTATTTTGTTTCTTAAACGTTTATAACTTAAGCACGTACACATTTTGGTCTCTTGGTAGAACGATCGCTTTCGCACTTTTCAAAAGCGCTGCACTTGACATTACCGCAATAAGAACCACTGGAACCAGCTGTAACACGAGAAATACAAAGTACTCATTAAATTTTATTTTATAAAAAAATGTTGTATATCAATTTTGTAAAATTTTCCATTATATTTAGAGAAAAAGTTTTGAAAGAGCTTTCATTGAAGTTTTACTTATAAATTATCAATGAAAGCTCTTTTTATTGTTTATTCTTTATAAAAGGTATTTTTATACAACATTATCGATAAAAGCTCTTCTTATCGATAATAGAACACTTTCGATGGAAAAAAATATTCAAAAAAAGCTTTTTTAAATTTTGGATAAAAGCTCTTTTTTTCGATAAAAGCTATATATAAAATATTTGATAAAAGATATTTTTATAGAAAATATTCTATAAAAGCTCTTTTCATGCAAAAGTTTTCAATAAAAAATTTCCATGATAGACAAAAGCTTTTTTCAAAAATATTCGAAAACTTTCTCTTTTCATGCAAAAGTTTTCAACAAAAGATTTCCAATGATAGAAAAAAGCTTTTTTCGAAAATATTCGAAAACTTTCTTTTTATGCAAAAATTTTCAGTTGAAGCTCTTTTTAAAGGAAATTTCCAATAATATATAATTTACAATAAATACTCTTCATAGAAAACTTTTGATAAAAGCTATTTTTATAGAATATCTTTACAAAGAAATTCAATACAGCTTTCTTTATAGAATATTAGCAATAAAAGCTCCTTTTATAGAAAATTGTCTGTTAAAACTTTTTCTTTATAGAAAAATTTCGATAAAAGCTATTATAGAATATATCAAATAAAATTTTGTTTATTAAACTTTTTTGATAAAAGCTCTTTTTATGGAAAATTTTCCTTGAAAGCTCTTTTTACTGGAATATATATAGAAAATGTTCGATAAAAGCTCTCTTTATATGAATTAATTTTTATGTGCAGAAAATTTTCAAATAAAAGCTTACTAAAAGCTTTCATTTAATACTTACAATTTTTACTGAAAGGAGAAGTATCACGACTGCCAGCATTAGACAAAAGATTAGGTTGGACACATGAGCGTCCATTGCATAAATTAGAACAACATTTACCACCTATGGCACTACATTCGCTGTCATGTAAACATTTCGGAGTACATGTTTGAACTTTAGTCGATGAAGGACAATCTAAACAGAAGAAAAAAAAAAACAAAATTATGTAAAAAATTTATTTAAAAAATCACAACACTAAAATTTATTTACCACCAGCTGCCAAGGTCAACGCAATCAGGCTTAAGGCGCACAATGTAATAAAAATTGTTTTATTTGCTAAAATCAAATCAAGGTAAAAAATAGTTTTTTGTTTTATTAATTTTCAAACATGCAGACACTTTAAATTATATTTAAATAAAAAATTACAAACATAAACAAGAAATACCAACCCATTTTGTTTAAACAATGTAAAAAATAATACAAATTTGTTATTAGTATTTAACGGGCACGTTTTGTTGTTTACACTTTGAGAATTGAGCTCAGACTGAATACAGAATTTATTCACTTTTAACAAGTGAACCCTGATGTTTTTGAGTTTGTGTTATTTAAGTCGCAAATTAAGATGAGCAGAATTTGAGATTTTAGATTGAGAATATCACGGTATGACATGTACAACAGGCTCGACCTTTAAATTAATTATTGTTTTTTTTTTACTGTTATTGTTGTTTATTATACTTGTGTTTATTAATAAATTAAATATTGTTAAATTGTAATAGATTAAAGTGATTAATATATACACACTTTGCCTTTTTAAATTTTCTTTAATTAAGTCTATATTTTTTGTTCGTTCTTACTTATCTTTTGTTTACGATTTGTAAATTGTATGTATTCTATTGGTCCAGAAGATGAATCTCTATTTGCAATCATTAATCGCGGAAGAGTTCTAGATAGATTTTAGCGATCAATCAAATGTTTGCTCAAAAACAATTTTTTATTAAACTTTGAATAAGTAAATTTTGAGTATAAACTTTTGCTTTTCAATATTGAAATGACTCCCATTGTCATTCGATTTGTACTACATCGATATTCTGGACCCTTGAAAGGTTCAAAAACGAAAGATTTTAAGTTTTAATGAGAATGAAAAAAGGTGCTCTTTTTATAAAACATTTTAGATAATTTTTGTGTGATAAATGCATTTTCTATAGCAAATTTTCAATAAAAGCTCTTTTTATAAAAAGTTTTTTTTTGTTATGTTAAATTACCGATAATAGTTTTTTATATAAAAAATTTTTCAATAAAAACTCTTTTTATATATGTATAATATTACATAAAAGCTCTTTTTATATATAATTTTCTATAAAAGCTCTTTTTTACAGAAAATTTTCGATAAAAGCTCTTTTTTACAGAAAATTTTCGATAAAAGCTCTTTTTTATAGAAAATTTTCCATAAAAGATCTTTTTTATAGAAAATTGTCGATAAAGATCTTTTTTATAGAAATGTTTAATAACAGCTCTCCTTATAGGAAATTTTAGATGAAAGCTCTTTCTTTAGATAATTTTCGATAAAAGCTCCTTTTTTTATAGAAAAATTTCTGCATTTCATAAAAACTCTTTTTATATATAATATTACATAAAAGCTCTTTTCATATATAATTTTCTATAAAAGCTCTTTTTTATTTATTTATAGAATATTTTCGAAAAAAGCTATTTTTTATAGAAAATGTTCTATAAAAGCTCTTTTTTATAGAAATTTTTCGATAAAAGTTCTCCTTTATAGAAAATTTTCGATAAAAGCTCTTTTTTTATAGAAAATTTTCGATAAAAGCTCTTTTTTTATAGAAAATTTTCTATAAAAGCTCATTTTATAGAAAATTTTCGATAAAAGCTCTTTTTATAGAAAATTTTCGATAAAAGCTCTTTTTTATAGAAAATTTTCGATAAAAGCTCTTTTTTATAGAAAATTTTCGATAAAAGCTCTTTTTTATATAAAATTTTCGATAAAATCTCTGTATTATATATGAAATTTTCGATAAAATCTCTGTATTATATAAAATTTTCGATAAAAGCTCTTTTTTATAGAAATGTTTAATAACAGCTCTCTTTATAGGGAATTTTAGATGAAAGCTCTTTCTTTAGATAATTTTCGATAAAAGCTCTTTTTTTATAGAAAAATTTCTGCATTTCAATTCGAATTGAAATTTTCTCCGTTTGGCAACTTTGGTATTCTGCATTTCGATTCGAACCTCCGTCACTAAAGTAACAACTTACAAAAACGTAGTACGATCGTAATGCAGAATACACACAATCGTAAAGCATTGAAATAAAATGGAATCTCTTCTTCTTATTCTTACGTTTCCGTTTTTTGTAGGAATACCAATTTTCGATAGTAGCGTAACTGAATGCAGAACGTAATCGGAATAAGAAAAGCTCTTTGTTATAGAAAAATTTCGATAAAATATATTTTTTTTTTCAGCAAATTTTCGAAAAAACCTCTTTTTATAGAACATTTTTTATAAAAGCTCATTTTACAAAAAAAATTCTATAAAAGCTCTTATTATAGAACATTTTTAATAAATACACTTTTATAAGCAATAAGCAAATTTGAGATTTTATCGAGATAAAAGTTTTTTATATAAAAATTTCCATAACTCTTTTCTACGAAATTTTCGATAAAAGCTTTCTTTATAAAACTATAATCGGAAATTTTCTTTAAACAGAAATTTCGATAAAAGTCCTTTTTGTATAAAGTTTTCGATAAAAGTCTTATTTATTTATAGAACATTTTTGATGAAAGCCTTTTAATAGAAAACTTTCCATAAAATCTTGTTTATACAAAGATTTCTAAAAAATGTTTTTTAAAGATAATGTCCAATAAAAGCTTTTTTATTGGAAGTTTTCTATAAAAGCTCTTTTTGTAAGAAAATTTTCAATAAAATCACTTTTTATTTGAAAATCTCTTTTTAGAAAAATGTCGATAAAAGCTGTTTTCGAAAAAAGCTTTTTCTAAGAATTTTTTTTTTCGAAAATCTCTACTTATAGAACATTTTCGATAAATTTTCAACAGAAGCTGTTTGCATAGAAAATTTTCGAATAAAAAAACTTTTGAAATTTCTGAAAAATGCTTTTTTATAGATAATGTTCAATAAAAGCTCTTTTTATATACAATTTCGACAGAAGCTGTTTTTATAGAAAATTTTCGATTTAAGCATTTTTATAGACATTTTTCTAATAGTTTCTATGAAGTAACTTTTTATAGAAAATTTTCGACAAAAGCTGTGGAAACTGTGTAATATTTTTCAGTAAGAAGGATGAATAACATTTAGTAAACAATATTCTTAGAATTGACACAATTAATTAATTATTTAAAAAACAGAAAGTTAACAATGTGAATACTACTACACCCTACATGAATTATACACATATTTTTGATATTTTTTCGATAAACTTTAGATAAACTAAAGATATGAGTAATTGTACCCAGCAAAAGCGTATTCACCAAACCATTTGCTTTGCGAGGATTATAACTAATGAATAAGAAGGTACATATATAAGGTTGCGGATAAGTAATTATTAAATAACTTCTAGGTAATGAATACCATGTGCAGTTATTACTGAATACTATGCTATTGAGTGTGTAAAAAACTCAGTGCAAAGTTTTTAATGGACTGACTGACAATGAATCCAAAATATGAATAGCTTTAAAAGTAGCGTGCACAAATTTAATAGTATTTGTAAAATTTATTAATTTTAGTGCAGCATTGTTTTATAAATTAGCATACTATAAACAAAACTTAAATACTGCAATAATATGTTATAAACTTATATGTTAACCGTAAATCGCCGCTACTTGTCCCCTCAATCTCGTGCTGTTATTAGGTGAATTACTCCATTACATAAAGTAAACCATTGAGAAGTATGTATTTATGTATCAATTGCATTACAACTTTGTTTTAATAATTATTTTATAGAGGGTGTGCTAATTACGTGAACAGCATTGTTTATTTATAAAGAGTTCCCCAATATAACAAAAATCGATTTGTTATTGCTTAAAAACTAGTTTGTTGTTTGTTCAATGGTTTAAACATTATGCAAATGAGATGCTCTTGAGAATAGACGATATATTCGTCGAGTAATTTATGAAAACAAACAAATAATAAACTTCTCGTTTACTAACGAAAATCATAAAAATATTTTCTTTACCCTAACCTATTTTAAGCGATATAAATACTCTGAATTCTTGTAGAAGTTTAGGTTTCGGAAACACACAACTTTCTAAAAATACAAATCTTTAAGGACAAATCCCCTAGTTTTGAAAAATAGCTTTGAATTCTGTGACATAAATCACAGATTAGGTTCGAAACATAATGGGTTTGATTTTTTCATAAAATTCGTCATAACCGAACATCAAATTCTTACTTGTTTTTAATCAATATTTTATGAAAGAACATACGCTTCAACGAAACTCTCATACAACTTTTCTACAGCTAATAAATTACTTCTAACTTGATTTATACATTTATCTCAAAAAAAAAAAAACTTCAAATATTAATAATTTCTTTATATCGATGAAAAATATTTTTGGGCGATACCAGATTTACACCCATTTATATGTTTTCTTTGCACTTGATATTGCAACAATTATTGTGTATTTGAAAGATACGAAGAAAAAAAAAACACACTTGAAAACGAATGACAGGTGGGTTATGCTTTCTTTATTTTAATTAAATCTACATAAATGTAACCCAATTTGCAGGCTTACAGTCTGGAGTGTTTAGACTTGAATTTAGTTTTGTAATTCTTTTTGTATTAAACTGTCAAAATTCATTTTGAACGCACAACACAATATTCAAATAATATGAAAACAAAATATCGCTAGAGGCATATAGGTGTGTGAATATTGTTTAAGCTTTAAAACTAAAGGTTGATCTATCTACTTGCTTACTATATCCATTCGACATGGATTCGTGTGTGTATATAGTAATATTGGAGTATTAAACTGTCATTGTAACACCTCCATAATTAGGGTTGCCAGGCATTTGAAAATTAAATCTTTAAGGTATTTAAAGAAACTAAAGTCCAATTTTATCTACCTTTAATTATGGTTTCCTGGATCAAGTACACATTGAATAGTCTTGTCCAGAGACTGAAAATAGCTCGGTCACATAATCAAAGGTTGGTTTTTGTATTCCTTTTTTTCTCTTGCTTATATGAGAGTACTCTCCCACTTGTTAGTCTAGTCTATAGTCTAGTCTATAGTCTAGTCTATAGTCTAGTCTATAGTCTAGTCTATAGTCTAGTCTATAGTCTAGTCTATAGTCTAGTCTATAGTCTAGTCTATAGTCTAGTCTATAGTCTAGTCTATAGTCTAGTCTATAGTCTAGTCTATAGTCTAGTCTATAGTCTATAGTCTAGTCTATAGTCTAGTCTATAGTCTAGTCTAGTCTATAGTCTAGTCTATAGTCTAGTCTATAGTCTAGTCTATAGTCTAGTCTATAGTCTAGTCTATAGTCTAGTCTATAGTCTAGTCTATAGTCTAGTCTATAGTCTAGTCTATAGTCTAGTCTATAGTCTAGTCTATAGTCTAGTC